TTCTCCAGCTGAATCAATGTTTTCTCTCTCACAAAAGAAAACAAAACCACAGCAAATCACAGCTGAATATCCCCACCCACATCAAGACATTACTTAACTGTCTTAACTTAAATGTCATCAAAATTCATCCAAAAAAAAAGTATTTAAACTCAGTTCTCAATAGCTTGATTTTTGAATTGACTGTTTTTGTAGAATCACAGAATCCCAGCATGGCCTGGGTTCAAAGGCCCACAGCGTTCCTCCAGTCCCAACCCCTGCTGTGTGCAGGTCGCCAACCAGCAGCCCAGGCTGCCCAGAGCCACATCCAGCCTGGCCTTGAATGCCTGCAGGGATGGGGCATCCACAGCCTCCTTGGGCAACCTGTGCCAGTGCCTCACCACCCTCGGGGGAAAAACTTCCTCCTCATATCCAACCCAAACCTCCCCTTGTCACAGCTTTTGCTTTTCAAAACTACTGCTATATTCTAGGAGAGACAAAACAATCCAATCTATATATAGAATGAAGCAGTTTTAAGCACAATATTTTTCAAAATGATTTTCATATGTGAAAGTGCTGTCTAACTTTATTCAACCAATATTAACACTTGAAATCCCTGGGCTGGCATCATTCCTTATATGAGGATGCTGTCGTTGTTTCAGCAGTTTCTCCAGCTGCCTTGTAGCCACCCACCTAAGGAAATTATACTTGACTGGAGGAATGAAACTTTTGTAATAAAGTTGAAAAAGAAAATGATGTAAGTGTATGAACACAAAACTAGTAGTCTGTCTCAAGCTTCTTTTACTTTCGCATATATAGACAGCCTTTGTGGTTATTGTAATTAACGACATTATTTAATGTCTTATAGTACCTTTAACTGTTCCTGTATTCACCCTGCTATTAAACCACAACTTAAAATCACTGTCAATAGGGCTGTTTGTGTATTTCCTTGCTTGTGAATCCACATGCATACTGCCATCTGGCTCTTGGGTTTCTGACCCTTCCTCTGTATCTATCAGCACAGCTATGCTATAGAGTACGTTTGCAAGTAAATTTGTATTGTGTTGCCTTTCTGCTACATAATGTTTCTTCCAACTCATGTCTCTCTGTCCCTGTACTGCAACATCTTTTTATTATTACTGTTATTATATGTACAGAATGATCTGTTCCTACAGTTGCATCCATTCTATGAGTAGGCATCTCCAATTATTTTCCCTAGCAAGAACTACAGTTTTCCGAGCTAGCCTTGTTTCAAATATTTCTGAGAGTATTCAGGTGGGACATTAGGAAAAATTTCTTCTCCCAGAGAGCGGTCAGGTGCTGGAATGGGCTGCCCCGGGAGGTGGTGGAGTCATCATCATCCCTGGAGGTGTTCCAGAAGCGTGTAGATGTGGTACTATGGGACACGGTTTGGTTAGGAAATATTGGTGGTAGGCAGACGGCTGGACTGGATGACCTTGGAGGTCTTTTCCAACCTTGGGTATGATTCTGTGATTCTCTGGGTTCCTGACTCTGCCCAGCGCTCAGCTCCCCAGCTAGCATCCTGACGTGTCAGGTATTCCTCATTCACAGAGGATTCATAGGATGACACGCGGGTAGGTATAAATATCAGCATGTCCCAATGCTGCTCTCAGAATAGGTGTTGATGCCCTACTTCTTTCTTAGACATACTTCAAACTGACTTTTTAGATCCTCTATGGATTTTGCCATTTAAGATGGCCAGCACAATGCAATGGCCACTTCATCATCCGTATTACCTGTGGGGTACAGATGCCAGATCACACTTTGTTGCTGTCCAAAGGACGGGCAAGACCAATAGTCAGTGTTTGTCAATAGCACTGTGCTTTCCTGCTCAGGAAGGAACCAGCATGCACTCAGTCACACCTCTCACCACACGTCTTCCTCTGCCCTCCCTTTGTGTGATCAGCGATTCAGTGCTGCCCCATCGGGGTGCTCCTGCAGGGCAGTGTCCTGACAAGCACCCTGAGAGAAACCATCACTTTGTGATGTCTGATTTAGACACCAGGCGGCCCTTCTCCTCCCAGGGTGATCCAGATTGCTTGTGTTGGGCTCCTGTGATTGTGTTGGGCTCCTGTGATTGTGTTGGGCTCCCCCTGTGATTAACAGGAAGATCTGGCCCACATCCCGAGAAATAATGAGTCCTGGGGAGAGATTACCAGGCGAGGCCGTGGCAATCAGCTGTGACTGCAGCTGAGCCACTTGTCACCACCACATAGGCCACAGGCACAGAGCTCTGAGCGCAGCCTCTGCCGAAGCCCCCATCAGGAGCACCTCCCTGCCAACGGCACCCACACAAAGATATTTGTGGATACATTTTTTAGAAACATTTTAGTGCTTCAAGCTGGTTAAAGAGAGGCGTTATCCCATTCTGCTCCGGGCTGCACTGCACGCAGATTTGGGCACCACAGTTTTACCAGGGCAGAAATTATCAGAGAGCATCCAAAGGAGGGCTGCACAGATGGGGAAGGGCCTGGAGGACAAGGGGTGTGAGGGGCAGAGCTGAGCACCGCTCTACGACAGCGAGGGGCTGAGGGACGGCGCCGAGCTGCGGCAGGGGAGGGCCGGGGCCGAGGGCGAGGCTGCGCCCAGAGGGCGGAGGGCGGCACAGCAACCCTGGGCGGCGGGCACGGCCCCGAGCGGCCGGAGGTGCGCTGGGACGTCGCTGGGAGCGGGGCCGGGGGTGCCGTGTGGGGCCGGGGCTGGATTCCGTGATCTTTGGGGGTCCCTTCCAGCCCGGGATGTGCTGTGACACGATGCCGTACTCTGTCCAAGGCTCTCATAATCAGGTTCCAAGTTCCCACTCAAGGTCTCGCTCATGTGTGTAAGTACAAAGGCTCAATAAAGCCTTTACATTCAGACTTTATTCACTGGGAGCACTCAACCATTGGCATAAGTGCATCATAAAATAGACGGAGAGCTGTAATTTGTACCAATGGAGCTTAGCATTTCCTGGGGCAGATTTCCATCACGGGCAGTGCCTCAAGCTGAGGAAGCAGGAGGCTGAGAGGAACTTTTGTATGGATTTTCCCTCCTTCGGCTTCTCCTTCCTGCACTCTGTAAGAACGCCAGCAAGAGCCTCCAGATCAGCAGTATCTAGGCCACTAAATAAAAGCAGCCTGAATTGGAAAGGCACGATGTGCTAGCAGAAACCATTCAAATCTTTAAAAAATTAAACCAGTTTTACCAAGGCAATTGTGAATCGCCAACTTGAGTAAGGAGAGCTTCCAAACCATTGCTCCCGACTTCACAATTGCATCCACGTGGAAGAATGTCATCTCTCCAGCCTTCTGTAGGACCTCAGGTTCCCAGTATTACTGGATTGTCGGCTCTGACTGAATGCAAGCCCTGCAGCCCTCAAAGGTGGGCTGTTCTGTGTATGTCCTGTCCATTTGCACAGAAGTGTGGGAGGTGTCAGGGTGAAAGGGTTTGCTAAATAAGCTGTTTTTTTCTCCAAAACACTGATAATTACTTGAAAGCTGAGCTCAGCCTGCTGCTTTTCTTGGGCAGAGTGTGCTGTGACAAGCTCTAGTTCTCTAGTTCCCCTGTTTTCACTGTCCTTGTTTCAATTGGGGTTTATAATGGCAAAACCTTGTTCTCTGAGGCTTTGCACATCTTTGGTTCAATCCCCTAAAGAAATCAATTCCTGATTGACAATACTACCTAAAATACAGCAGGAATTGGATGGGAGGGATGCACCAAGCAGAGATTCCATACTGAAGAGCGTTGTTTTGGATTATATTCCTACAATTTAGTATTATGCTTTAAATACTAAAAATAAATCTGCCTTTTCTCCTGCCTTTCCTGCTGGGCTGTCAGGATTGCCAGGGCTGGATCTGCTGTCCCAGGCAGCTTTGGCCGTAGCTCCTGGAGAAGCAGAGCTTCCTGCCTGGAGAGTTGGTGGGCAGCCCTCCTACTGCAAACGCATACATTTCTCTGCTGCTCTCCCTCGGTCCTGGGAGCTGCAGAATTTCTCTGCTCTTATGTAATGGGCTGCTGGTGGCTTTGCTTGAAAAACGTCTTTTCCAGCTGGAGGGGGATCAGGAACCCTGTCCTGGAGCTGCTAGGTCACTGCTCGCAGGGCTGCTGGCCAGGGCAGAGGTGCCAGGCAGTCGGGCTGCAGAAGGGAGCAGCTGGGCACCTCGTGCCCTTTACCCCGTACCTCTCCCGGAGTCCTCGTCCCCCTCACAGCACCATGGGGCGGCTCCACGCGGGCGACTTCGGGCTGCAAACGAGGGATGAAACGGGAGAGGTGGCGATGCGGGGCTGTGCATCTCGGGGCAATGCCGCGGGGGAATGCAGCAGCCGTGGGACCGGGGCTGGGGTTGGCTGCTGCTCCGCAAAATCCCCGCTCAAAGCCCTCCCCAGGGGAAGGGGAGCGGGGGGTGCCCGGGGCAGTCGGTAGGGATGGACCGGAGGGGGGGACGAGGGAGGGATCGGGGGATGTTAAAATGCAGCATCATCCTCCCGCCCCAGCCAATTCCCCACGCGTGTGTGTGCGGAGGGAGGGAAGGAGGGAAGGGAAGGAGGGAGGAGGGCAGCGGCGCTTTCCAGCGGGGGGGGGGGGGGGGGGGACCCCGCCCCCAGCCCCCCCGGGGGGGCGGGGCTCGGCTCGGAGCGGGCACTGCGGAGCCGGCAGCGCTCCCATTGCAATGCCCGAGCAGCGGCGGCGAGAGGGGGGCCCCCGGCGGGAGGGGGGAGCTGCTCGTTGGCTACGGGGAGGGAGGAGGGGAAAAAGAGCGAGGGAAAAAAAGGAGAAAAGCAAGGACCCCCCTCCTCCCTGCTCTGCCCGGTCCCTTCCACACACACACCGCACGCTCGCACACACACACCCCATTGATCAATATTTGGCTGTCTTGCTGCAACTTGCTGCAGTCTTTTAAAGGAGTAGTAGAGAGAGAGAGGGAGAGAGAAAAGGAAACTGACAGGAAGGGGTAAGGAGCTACACATGTCACATGTGCTTTCTAAGACGGCCAGGAGCATCTGCAGGCTGGATCTGGTGGAGGATGCTGCGGCAGGTGATACACAGAGGGCTCCAGTCGTTTTTCTACAAGCTGGGCTTATTCGTGAGCAGGCATCCGGTGTTTTTCCTCACTGTGCCCGCAGTCCTGACCATCATCTTCGGCTTCAGCCTGCTCAACCGCTTCCAGCCTGACACTGACCTGGAGAGCCTGGTAGCCCCCAGCCACAGCCTGGCCAAGATCGAGAGGAGCTTAGCCAGCAGCCTGTTCTCCCTCGATCAATCCAAAAGCCAGCTGTATTCGGACTTGCACACCCCGGGGAGGTATGGCAGGGTGATTCTCCTCTCCAAACCCGGAGGCAATATTTTGCATCAGGCTGATGTGATCCTGCAGATCCACCGAGCCGTGCTGGAAATGAAGGTGAACTACAAAGGCTATAATTATACTTTTTCCCATCTGTGTGTGTTGAGAAATCAGGATAAGAAATGCGTGCTGGATGATATTATTTCAGTACTAGAGGATCTGAGGCAGGCTGCCCTCTCCAATAAGACAACAGCCAGGGTGCAAGTGAGCTATCCCAACACTAAATTAAAGGTATGCTCTTACTGCATGCTTTTGCCAATTAAAGAGGCAGCACTTCATTTCTTGTCCTAAACAGCAAGAGGAATATAATCATATCTCTCTCTTTCTGTCTAAATGTGTTTGATCTGGGCTTTCCTCGGGAAGCAGCCGAAGCTGATGCCTTGCTATTGTTCTGTGCGAGGAGGGAGGGGGGGACGCACGGTACTGAGCCAGGAGGAGCAGGGAGCAGAGAGCAGCCTGGAGACCGGGCGACCTTGCTGTGCCTCGAGGGGTTAATGCATCGGGAGAGGGGACAGGAGGTCGGAACCGGGTGTGGGGAGGAGAGCTGGGGTCTCGCTGGGGTCTCACTGGGGTTTTGCTGTCACTTATTCCAGCCCCAGTGACGTGGTAGGGTAACTGATCTTTGGTATGGCCAGAAAAAGGCTTTCCTCTAAGGCACGATGAGCTGCTGTATCTCCCTGACCCTGCGAGTGCCATAGGAGAAGCAGGAGGTTTGGGTGAGGAGTGATTTCAGGTGTTCTGCCTGCTCTTTCTTCACCTGCATGCATAGAAGGGGACGGGGGGTGGATTATTTTTTTTTCCTCTCAGTATGAAAATAATTAGTTCTGGTGCTGATGGATGGGCTGGAGTTTTGGGACAGATCCCATCAGCTAGAGGCTTCCAGTGAAGGCGAAACAAGGTAAAAGGGGACAGAAGCTTCAGCCCTCCTGATTAAAAAAAATAAGCATTTTGGCACAAGTGTCTCAGGAATATTCCCCTGGCACACACGCACCCTTTTCCCTCTCGTAAGGAGCAGTCTGCCTCACTAACCTGCTGTGAGCAAATAAGGCAGAAAGTTTAAAGGTGGATGGTAGAAGTTTCTGCAAATTGTGACATATCTGCATGCTCCCCAGGCATTGCACCAGAGGCAGGGATTACTTAACAGAGTTGAACAGAATCCCTAGGTTGCTGGTCCCTCAGAACTCAGGTCATAGGGAAAGGAGTATTTCTTGCTGCCCCTCAGAGATGAGTGCTGTTGCAATTACCGGCCAGGTCCTGAAGTTATCTTTTGTTACTCTTGATTTACCAGGGAAAAAAAGAAAAGCCAGTCGCTGCCCAAAAAACTAGAACAGAAATACTGATTGATTTTACTGGTCTTTTTCCTTCAGCAAAAGGGCCAAGTGGGATGCGTGGGATTTGGTCCCATTGCTGTAGATGTGACAGCATTTGTCTCGTGCAGAGTTGTGGCTCTTTGAGCTGGTGGAGATGGAAAGGTGTCCTTCATGCTGTTGGAAAGCCCTGAGTGCAAGCAGTGCTTGGGAACACTACGAGTGACTCTGGATTAAATACTCCTGAATAATTGTTGCTGTTTAATTCATTATGGAGACAATCCTGCTATCACACAAAATAAAAGCATTTTCTTTCTGTTTTGCTTATTTTTAAAATTGAAATTAAATTAATTCAGTGGAGACACCAATAATCTAGATTAACATCGCTATCACCCATTCTCATACAGAGATGGTGATTCTACTCCCTCGGTCCAGATTAATTTCCACATGTCTAACTACCTCTGCTGAGCCTGTCGCAGTCAGGATGGGGTCATTTGCAATGTGGTTTTTGACCATTTCTACTTTTTTTTTTTTTAAATAAAGTGAGAAAAAGTTGACTGGGATTGGAGACTAACAGTGGCTGGGAGAAAAATCATACACACAAAGTTTTTCTCAAAATGTGGTTCTAAGTGTTGCCAAATATTAGCCCAGCACCTCCAATCCCCCATTAGTTGATGTGTATCATCACCCAGGTGCCTTTACGTGTCCGGTTTTACCATGGGACAAAGCTGGGTGCCTTCCAGCCACTTCTCAGCATGGGGATACATTTGGGGGCCACCAAAAGCTGTGGCTGTTCTTCAGAGAAAGGCTAAAAATGGCAGCCTGCACCTGTGGTAAGGAAAAGAGTCTCTGTTACTGCTAGGAAAGAGGGGTTTTCTTTTTCTGGTAGCACAAGGAATGGCCAAAAGCACAGTTTAGTAGGGGCTCCTGGGTTTATTGATTGGCTTCCCTGTCCAACCTCTCAACAAAAGCTGAGGAAGCTCAGGTTTGTGCCACGTGCTCCTGGGTTGTCCAGATGTATTTAGCTGTGAATGTCTTGGATGGGACACCACAAGAGCAAATCAGTGTCTGGATGTTCACCAAAGGGAACCACTCCTGTGATCATAGCTATGAGGTTTCTATTTCTTTTCGCTTGAGTCGCGACATGAGAGAGCAGTTGTGGCAGGACCTAATAGGGGGGCAAACCAGTCAGCCAAGGCTGCCAGCCATACGTGGTGTGGACCGGTCTCACCACATGGCTGGTCCCTGTCCTTGGGAGCTTTCTCAGCTAAAGTTCCCTGTAGCCAAGAGGGACCCATCAGGGTCTTCTAAGGTTGCCTCTCTTTCTCCAATGACTTGGTGCTTGGTTAATACCAGTACAGTTTCTCATCTTCCTATAAGAATGACCATAGCTTGAAGAAAATTCTTCTGAGAACAACACTTTGGGTTTACAAGCCGTGAAGGTGCCCCAGCTGTGTTAGTCTGCAGCTGACAAAGGGCAACACCTGTACTTTTTTGGGAACCACAGTGACAATCTTAGCAGCTCCAATCCGCTCTCCTGCTCAACCTGGGACCTGTAAAGACCTCTTGTAGTTTTCCCTCCCCTCAAATCTCACGAGCAGCTCTCACTTTGTCTTTCTTCTTGTCTCCCAGTTGGGTAAGATGGGCTGGAGGTTGGCTGTGGGTGAGCTCTTGCCATGTCTTTCACAGGAGCATTCCGTGTGCCAAATTTCAGCAAACCGCTCTGATTTCAAATGGGCTGGATGGGGCCATAGAGTCTAGCAAAACTGCCTGTCCTTTTCTAAGAAAATCTGTCTGTGTAAGGTAACCATTACTCATTATTCAGAGCTGGAAGAGATTAGAGCCTTGAGTACATCTATTTTCACTGCCCTTCCCTAAGGAGGGAAGTCTTGGTCTCCCCATTTGACAGAGGAGGAGCAGAGAGATGGCGCTTACTTGCACTGTGCAGATTGCAGCATTGTTCTAAATGCTTAAAATGCATTCAAAATCCACTCTGGCAATGTAGGGATCACTGTAGTTTGTTTTTCTGAGTTGCTAGGTGAAACCAGCTTTATTCCTACTGCCATCGCTGTCGGGACCGTGGTCAGTGCAGTTACAGCGACTGCTCCACCACGCTGCAGTCTGCAGCCCAGCCAGAAAGTGACTTGCCCAAGGTCATGCAGACAGAGCGTGGCAGAGCAGGAAATCAGAGCTGGATGAATGGAGTCCGGATGGAGACTTTTGGGATAAGTCATGGAGCAAGACTGCTCGCGCTCACCCTACCGCAGGCACAGAGCAATGTTCCTGTGCAGGGGGTCTGGATTGAGCTCCTGCTATGTAGAGCAGGCAAGGTTACAAGGAGCACAGGCTTGCACAAAGCTGTTAACTCACAGGTGTGCTCTCAGGGGTGATTTTTATCTGTTCATCTTCCCAAACAGTGCCGGAGCATGGCTTCAGGGATAGCACGAGTCAGAGTCCATTCTCAGTACATGTACTGCCTCCCTTCTGGGGACAGCAGTGTGTATCTGCTTGGATACGTTGTGCCTCTGCCCTGTGGCTACAGCACAGGCTGAGGTTCATATTATTTATTAATCTGGACAGACCTATTGATTACTTGGGGATATTTCTTGTGCAGTATCAGATACTGGAAAGGAGATTACGGTCTTCTGACCCCTCACTGTCAGTAAGCCCCTCAGAAGTCCTGTCTTTACCGGGTTAAAAAGAAGAGAACGCTGCTAAGAATTATTTCTAAATACGGTTCTAACCTGGAAAACAGTACATGCACAAAAGCACTTTGTTCCAAGTATTTCATTTTTACTGTTTGTTTTCATGTTTATTTGCTAGTTTGTCTGAGAAAAGTCAATAACTTCAAACTTATTTCTTTGAGATCACAACAAACATGACAACTGCTGGTTAAAAGGAGTCTTTGAGGGCAGACTGTTTTCCGTAACACTGCCTTCAATTAATTATCAGTCGTTTATGAGCGCTGCACTAAACAGCAGCCAATAAAAGAGACGTCTCTATTTCCACAACTACGATAAGCATATCTGTTGGATATGGGATCTTCTATTGCTTAAGCAGAAAAGTTGCGTGCATTCACTTTGCATCTTAAAACCTGTAATTGCAGATTTGCTACCAGCCAAGTGTTCTCCAGGGGCTTCCTTGGAGGCAGTGCAGCTCTGCACCATCCTGATCCCGCCTGCCCCAAGCCAAGCCTGTGGCTCAGCATCCTGCTAAGTGCTCTGTGGTTGGCAATGGCAGCGAAGTCAAATCAAACTAATAAAATATGAGCAGGGAGAGGATCAGAAGGGGAAGGCTAGAGGCAGCGGATAGTTCTCATTTGAGCCTCTCGGATCAAGGCAGGATTGGCTGAGCTCGAAGCAGCTGCTCAGTAGCATGAAAGCAAGGCAGAAAAATGTGTGAAGGCAAGAAACTTCTCCTGGCTCAGAGGCTGGGAGAACTTCCTTGAAAATGAATCAAAACAGAACAAGGACCCTCTTGTGCTCACACCTGTGCTTGCACACTCTCAGGCAGGATGAGGCAGAGCTTCTCACCTGGTGCCTGATCCTGGAGCTGTGTCTGTGTCCTTGCTGCAGGATGTCCCTGCAGCTTTCAGCTTCAAAGGACATGGTCAGACTGCTTGCTTACCCACTGTGGACAAGAAACGAAGCATTTCTTGCATATTTAGGAACATTCTCGATTACTTTCTGCACTTAATACATTCAGAAAGGTCTCTTCCCTATTTCTGCAAGACTGGTTTTGAAGTTGATTTACCAAAAAGGGAGAGCAGACCATCCTGGCAGGGCCAGGGACGTGAAACTGAATTAACTTGTACCAGGACAAGCTGTCCCATGGTAAACAAGCAGCAAAAACAGAGAAGAAATGTATAAATCAGTGATGGGGCTTAATGTGCTTTTTTGCTCTGCTGTTCTCCAGGGCAACAAC